AGTGAAAAGTGGGTGTACAGTGGCATAATGTGCACGAGTTATATGTACTTTCTAAGATTATTTAGACGCCACTGACAAACGGTGAAGGAAAATATCGTGAGGAAACCTGGGCTTATAATTGGGCATTTATAGGCTGTTGATGACGATGATGAGATATGTATACAAAACCGCCTTTCTTTTCATCCTAACATACTCGCAACGTCGCGGAGAACCTAACGTGTAACCGGGGCTCCGGCTCGCTCCGGCCCGATCGACATTGGTATTAAAAGTTAAAACGTACTCTCGAGTTGCAATACTAGCGCCTATTGCATCCGTATTGCGTGGATATTTAATAAACTAAATGGTATTGAGTTTGGCTTTATATCCCGTACTCTGAATGCTATTTTAACAGCTACGATTGTGGTTGTATAATTTTGACATTGAATAATTATTGAGATTATATTGGATTGAAATTGCATTCACATTGAGATTGGTTTCAAGAGTAAGCACCCTGGGGTTGGGAGTTTTATGAAAACCTTATAAGTGAACAGAAATGTTGGTTAGATGCGTTATCAAAGTATACAAACATTTAATTTGTGGTCTGCTTATGTTTGTTTAATTACTATAATTGTTCAAGTGGAGAACTTATTAGACACTATCTCTACGGTCAACTAGTTAAACTGTAATTATATTATCATAGAAACATTAATAAACGATTTGAATTAATATACTAACTACGACTAGACCGTCCGTGGGACGTTGGACTAATCTACACTAATAGTATATACAAAAATGACTAAATGCATTATTTCTACCCTCATTAATTCCCCTTCGTATGGCGATATAAGCGTATATTTCTTAAATATAAAGTGTTAATAATAGATGTGTAATAATTGGATACTTTCGTTAATCAAAAAATAAATTACATATTTCGACTGTTCAATAGAACAAAATAAAAAAAAATCGCACTTTTATTAATTGATTTTATGACCAAATTTAATTTTAGTATTTTTCCAGCAAATTTTTAAGAAATAAGTATGCTGTTTGATGCTAAAAAAAACGTGACGTCACAATACATAATCTCGTACAACATTAATAGAAAACTGACGTTTTTGACAATTTGAATAAAGTATTATACAATACTAGTCTAATTTGAATGCTAATTTGTTAGCAAGTAGTCAATTTTCTCCAAATAGAGTATATGGTACAATTGGGTTGACATCATCATCATTGTTAACAGCCTATAAATGCCCACTGCAGGTTTCGTCCCGATGTTTTCCTTCACCGTCTGTCAGTGGTGTCTAGATAATCTTAGAAAGTACATATAACTCGGAAAAAGTCACATTGGTACTTGTTATATGGATAAAAACCCCTTGCTAAATAAAGAATAAATAAATACTAGACCGTCCCATTAATCAAGTGGTCGCAAAAGTGACTGCCGACCAAGACATCTCGGATTCAATTCCAGGGTCTGCGAAATTATGTCAGGCAAATGGGTGTTACATTATATTGTGCACCTCTACCTAGCCCTTCGGAGATTAAAACGTGTGCCGTAATGCTATGTTATAGGTATTATACCTCTTAACCAATGGGTGGAGTGGTACAAGCGGGATTACTGAAAAGTTTCAATGTATAATTACATAACATAATGCTTTTTATTACCGAAAGGGTAGTCAGAGGTGCACATTAAGGCACTTCATGCCACTGTGAGAGAGCCATGCTTCGGCACGAATGGGCCGGCTCGACCGGAGTGATACCACGGCCGAGCAGGAAACCGACGTGGAACAACGCTTGCGTTGTATTTAGTCGTGTGAGTGAGGTTACCGGAGGCCCAATTACACCCCTCCCTAGTCTTCGTAATCTCCCGAATCCCCGTATCCTCCACAATCGTCAAATTTCCAGTTCCCAAAAGGCCGGTAACGCACTCGTAACGCCTTGGTGGTTTGGGTGTCCATGGGCGGCGCCGATTGCTTACCATCAGGTGATCTGTCTGCTCGTTTACCGGCTTATGCTATAAAAAAATACATATGTTTTAATTAATGCATATTTAATTATGTATGCTTATTTCAGGAGGTCTCAGAAACGAAACCCGATACTCCTGTTTCAACGTTCAAGAATGCGACATAGTTGTAAAATGTATACAGGTAACTTCATTTCTTCTACTTTTTTAAATTGAATGCACCGGGAGAGACCATTGATGTTCAGCTAAGTGGTTGACATTATAATGTTGCCAGTTTAATATACTATCATAAATCTGACACAGACAGTGTTGCCAGGCTTCGTATTTTAATTAAAGGAAATAAAATCTGTCTCTGTGTCGACTGCCTCGTTGGCCAAGTGGTTGCAAGTGCTTCTGCCGGGCAAGGGGTGTCGGGTTCGATTCCCGGGTCGGCCAAAGTACTACAGGGTTTTTTAGAAAAAAAATCAGTAGTAGCACGGAGTCTGGAATTGTGTCTTGTATGGCAATAGGCTCACCCCCTATTACATGTGACATAAACATGTTATGAGAACATAAATAGTGAAAAGTGGGTGTTACATTGTACAGTGGCATTTAGTGCTGTAATGTGCACCTCTGTCTACCCCTTCGGGGATAAAAGGCGTGATGTTATGTTGTATAAAATCTGTCTACCTTTCCGTAATATGTATTGATTGCAGAAATTGATTGATTTAATCTTTCATTTGCCTTGAAATAGGGTTGTATCCTAAATTTTATTTTAATGTTCGTCTGGTAGATTTTTTTAAACATTAGACACGTATTTTTTCTTTCTTACAAAATTAAATACTGTCGCCGATTTTTTGATTTGAAATATCGTGTGACGTCACGATTTCCTACATTTTATAGCGTAGCAAAACGTAACGAACTCGTACTCCTAAATTTAACTCCGTTTTATCTAAGTATTGTTTTCTTATACGACTGCACGGTTGGTGCGGTGGCTGGGTAACCTGCTGCCGTGCAACGTGTCGCGGGTTCCCGTACGGAACAACACTTTGTGTGATCCACAGATTGTTGTTCCGTGTCTGTGTGTCATGTGTATGAGAACTTGTATGTTTGTAAACGCACACACGACACAGGAGAAAATCCTAATGTGGGACAATTTTTTTTAAAAAGAAAAAAGCAATAAAAAATACGTGTCTAATATTTTTTCATTATTTAACTGACGGACTAATTACATTTTTAATTTTCATACACTGTCTACTACCTCGTACT